TGTATAGCACTGGGCAAATCAGCTGCAAAAGACCTCTTTCAAGTGCTGAAGAGTAAAGATGTCTCCTTGAGGACTAAGGTGTGCCTGACACAAGCCATGGTATTTTCAATCGCCTCATATGCATGTGAGAGCTGGACAATGAATAAAGAAAACTGAAGAAGAGTTGATGCTTTTGATTTGTGGTGCTGGTGAAGAATGCTGGAAGTACCAATGGACTGCTAAAAGAACTAACAAATCTGTCCTGGAAGAAGTGCATCCGGAATACTCCTTGGAAGCAAGAATGGTCAGACTTTGTCTCACCTACTTTGTTGTCAGAAAGGACCATTCCCTGGAGAAAGATACCATGCTTGGTAAAGTGGAGGGTCAACAAAAGGAGGGAAGGCCCTCAACAAGATGGATTGACATAGTGCTACAACGATGGCTCAGGTATATAGTAGGGATCGTGGTGCTGGCACAGGACCAGGCAGTGTATTGTTCTGCTATATATGGGGTCACTATGAGTTGGAGATGACTCGATGGCACCTAACAACAATAACAACAACAGGGAACAAGCAGTGATGCCCTGCTCAAAGATAGCTGCCAGCTATGGGGACACACAAAGCTGTGTAGTCTGCCAGGGCATTGCTACCTACTCAAGTCAAAATCCCACAGGCAGTAGATTTGGTTACTAGGCAACAGGTACTCTGCCCTTGTTTCCATCATACATAAGAGGGCTTTGCACCTAGCTGCCATGTGTGACTTCCACTGGCATTAGTCACTCTTAAGGACAAGACCAGAATGGACTTGCTGTTTTACCAGAGCTGGAAACCACCCACCCCCAGTGCCAGTTCCTCCCTCTGCTGTGGGGCCAGCCCTTCTTAACCAGGGCACGAGACACCTCTGCCCAACATCCATCTGCCCAGCATCCATGTGCTTGGATCCATGTCCACAATGACCATGATGGCCACCTTCGTGGAGCTCAGCAACAAGGTGAAGATGCCCATCATGGGTCTGGGCACTTGTAAGGTAGACATGCCCATGTGTGGACACCTGCCTCCCTCCTGGGGCTCCTCAGCAGGGAAGTCCCACTATTGTGTTGGGGAGGGAGTTCTGCCCTGGAGCCAGAAGCCAGCACTCCCCTCTCAGCAGCAGACTCAGCCTCCAAAGCTTCAGGGTTGCTGTTCCCAGCATGGCAAGAGCTTCCCAGCCAGGATGGAATTTCAAGCAGGTAGGTATTGTGCTGACAAAAACAGTTGTTTTCCAGAGCAGTTCCTCTGCAAGACTTTCCTCTTCTCACTGCTCCCTGGGTCTGGGACCTTCAGAGGGGCTCCACATGGTTGGCTCCTGGCGTGGGTTTGCTGTGAGGTAGATGGGTGGTTTAAGGGAGGGTACGGGGGAGCTCAGTCTGGTGGGCCTGGTTGTGTGCAGTGTGGTCCTGGGAGCTGTTTAGAAATGCAAGCTCTTGGGTCACCCCAACCCTTTTGCATGGACATCTGTATTTGAACAAGACCCTCAGGGATTCCAGTGCAGTTCAAATCCCAGAATGCCGCTTCCCTGGGAAGGTTGCCCAGTGCCTGGGTGGGAAGTCTGGCTCTGCTGGCTGGATCCATGTCAGCCGGGCTGGGACAGTGTCTCTTGTAAGGCGGCAGACACTTCCCACATCCAGGCTCAGTGAGCAGGTCCCTGGGCCTTTT